AAAAAAAAAAAAAAAAAGATAAACCAGAGAGGTGATAACTCTTGATGAAGGTGTAATGGTCTGTCTTTCTTCGTCAGTGGCCGTAAAACTCTTCCCCAGAGAGTGTTTCCTGGTAGGTTTCCTCTTCGTCTTCCTGGGAGCTGAAACACTTTGAATGAAGAAGAGGTTTTTAGAAGCCTCACTCCCCCGAAGTTTCTGCTTTTGGTCAAATAAAAGAAGCTCCAAGAAGATTTTTTTCTACATCTGTTGACTCTCAAATGTCTTTAGCTTAGTCTTCATAGCAGCTCTGGGGTTCCTAGTGGGTCCTCATGTAACCGTACCTGCTTCCTAGGGTGGTTGGGAAAATGAGAAACAGTCCATTAGGGACCCAGCACTGAGTCACATGTAGCACGATCAGACATTTGCTTCATTCCATCATTTTTCCTCCTTTAAGATCTGTCTCTTCTCTTTTCTCAACCTTTCTTGTATTGAATGCGTCTTAAGCTGCTTTCTTGAAATTCAGTGCCTTGGAGCATGCATCACATTGCCCGTGTTTGTTCATACAGTGGAGACAGTGAGAATTATGTTCAGGGTTATGCTTTGTTGAACGCCTGTTAGAAAGTTTATCCTCCCCTAAATGTGTGTCTAGGAAATCACACAATATGTGCAAAGAATAATTCCCTTAAAACTTGAAGTTTGAGTGTAGCCTTTGTCGGACTCAGCAATTGATGTCCCAGAGTGTGCCCTTTTAGTACCTGGAGCACTTCAAAGTGAAGGGCATTGGAAAGGCCTTAGAACAAAGTCTCTTTTCTGACCTTTTCCTGCGCTCTTTTTTTCCTGCTTCCTTCACCCCAAGGCCGCCCACTGAGACTAGAATCCTTCTTCCTAGGGGAACGTCATAGAAACCAGAATACTTTCTCCCCTAAAGCCAGCCATAAAACTTAGAAATATTACTCTAACCTTCCCCTACCTTTCTGTGTAGGAGCTTGCCATAAAGAAATTCTCTGACCTACCTGGTCTGAAAGTAGATGATAAGACTCTTACTCCAGAAAGGTCTGCCCTGTACCCAGGAGGAAGGAATGCTACACAGATAGATCAAGAAGAATTTAAACAGGCTGAGCACAGAGGCTCACACCTACAGTCCTAGCACTCTGGGATGCCAAGACCAGGGGGATTGCTTGAGACCAGGAGTTTGAGACCAGCCTGAGAAAGGAGACCAGCTCCCTCTCTATAAAAAAATTAGCTGGGTTTGGTGGTACCTGCCTGTAGTCTCAGCTAGTTGGGAGGCTGAGGCAGGGGAGTTGCTTGAGCCCAGGGGATTGAGGTTGCATTCTAGTTCAGGTAACAGAGCAAGACTGTCTCAAAACAAAAACAAAAAATTTTTTAACTGCTGGGTTTCCCCACGCAGCCAATTACTATTAGTACATTCTCTTTTTTTCCAATCACCTTTTTACGTGGCTGTCCACTCTTCATTGAATCAAGAAATAAAAATGTAGTTTTCCCTTGGGTCTTTGGTAAGGTGAAAGCTCAGTACTGACTATCTGAGCTCTGGAATATACTCACCATACATATTCTCGTTTTGCTTTTTGTTCTCATACTGACATAAAATGCCAAATAGTGGGAAATGGGAGTTAGAGGTCTCTATTAAGCATCACTGATAAGTCTGACACAATAATTGTTCTACTAGGAGAGCAGAAGCAGGAGGATGTATCAGGGATTTATGATAAGGAACTGGCTTGTACATTGTGGGGCTGGCTTAAAGCCCATACAACAGGAAGGGGTGATTATGAGCAGGCTGGAACGCAGTGGGCATGAGATTGTCCACAGGCAAAATCAGATCCAGGGAGAAGGAAGATTACTGCAGACCCAGCTGCTTTGTGGGTTTCTCTTTCAACCCTCTTTTTTTTTTTTTTTTTTTGAGACAGAGTCTCACTTTATTGCCCTTAGTAGAGTGCTGTGGTGTCATAGCAACCTCCAACTCCTGGGTGTAGGCAATTCTCTTGCCTCAGCCTCCCAAGTAGCTGGGACTATCTTTCAACCCTTTTTTAAAGGCCTTCCAAGTAAATCCAGGCAACCCAGCACGATCTTCAGTTGCTTAATTTAAAACCAGCCTATTCAGGGCTTTGGGGTCTGATTGAATTACTGCTTGGAGGAGGAGTGTGACAGGTCAAGAGACTATCCTTTCTCTCCCACCTTAATGGAAAACAAGTCAGAGAGGGAATTCTGGGGACTGGAGTTCGGTCAGTCCAAACAGATTGACACATCAGAAAGTCATCACAGATGATAAAGTGTGCCTGGTAAAAAGGGATTATTGTTTTAAATGGCTTTTATTCTTTGCAAAGAGAATTTCCTGAATTGATAGCAACATTTTGGTTAATTTAAAAGAAAAGTTTGGGATCAGTGGCTCTTGCCTATAATCCCAGCACTCTGGGAGATGGATTGCTTGAGTTCAGAGGTTGGAGACCAGCCTGAACAAGAGCGAAACCCCCTTCTCTATAAACATAAAAGATTCGCTGGGTGTTGTGGCAGATGCCATTGTCCCAGGTCCTCAGGAAGCTGAGGAAGGAGGATCACTTAAGCCTAGGAGTTTGAGGTTGCTGTGAGCTACGATGATGCCACGGCACTCTACCAAGAGTGAGATTCTGTCTAAATAAATAAGTCTGGCTTAACGTTCAGAAACTTAATCACCATAAGCATAAACCATAAACACTTCTTTAGAATAGATGTTTGTCAAATGTTTGACGTTTCTCATAACGACCTTCTGTTTTGCCTCAGGATACTTTTTGACGTCACACAAGAAGATATTTTATTTCTGGCTTCACCTCTGACCTTCGATCCTTCTGTTGTGGAAATATTTGTTGCCTTATCGAGTGGTGCCACTCTGCTCATTGTGCCAACTGTTGTCAAGGCGCGCCCATCACAGTTAGCTTCCGTTCTCTTTTCCCATCACCGAGTGACTGTGTTGCAGGTACATTTGGGGAGCAAATGAAATGTTTTGTTTTTCTTTAGTCACCATTTTAAATGTTGTAGAGAATGTTTTGTCCTATAGGTCTTTACATCGGATTAACTACCGTTACCTATTTCCTCAAGATGCCCCTTTTTTGGTGAAAATGAAAAATACAACTGGATCTATCCTCACTGTTCGAGTAGGGCAAATACTGTATCCGTTAGACAGAGTTCTCCTATCTCTTCTCTCCCCATGGGGAAAAAAAGAAAAAAGAAAACAAAAAATAATCAGCTAATTCTAACTAGATAATTGTTTGACCACGTATTTTTTGCATACTGTAATAACCAGAGTAACTTCACTTTGACACAGATCTGGTATGATATGCTGTCTCTTCTGTTTTAAAATTTACATGTATTGCGGTTCTCACTAAAAGCTAGTGCAAGTAAATTAAACCACAGTTGAGTTTTAAGAACATAGATTTTCTGATTTTGACATCAGTATATTGTACATTATCCTTCAGAAACAAGTATTTTTTAAATTTGGCCTTTTAACAAATTTTAAAAATGTGTATCTGAAAATCCATGACTGGGACTTGAGCCTTACGATATATTACGTTGTAAGTAGAGATACTAGAGAGAATTAGCAAAATTACTTGCATATCATGATATATGGCCGTGTAAGTTAGGTGTTTAACTGCTGTGAGCCTCAAATTTGGTCTGTAAAGGGAAATAATATTCATCTCAAATAGTTGAAGAATTAAATGAGAGCGTATAATAGTTCCAGGTGTGGGGGTATGTGTGTCTTAGTCTGTTTGGTCTGCCATAACAAAACACATAAACTATTCCTTTTTATTAAGGAAAAATCTGACAGCAAAACTAAAATATTTATAGCACTAAAAATTATAAAATAGGAATAAACTTAAAGAAGAGCAAGACTTATATACTGAAAACTATAATTATTGATAGAAATTAAAAACCTAAATAGAGAGACATTTTGTGTTTATGGATTGGGAGTTTTAATAGTTCAGATTGCAGTTCTCTCCAAATTGAATATAGCCCCTAGTAAAAGCCCAGCGGACTTTTTTTGTAGAAATTGATAACTTGTTCCTAAGTTTTACATGGAAATGCAAAGCCAGTCTTGACCCACAAAACTAGACTGTACAACAATAAAAAGGAGTGTACTTCGCAGCAACATAGAATTGCATCTGTTATCTTGACTAAAAGAAGCCGGGACACAACAGAGTACATGTATGATTCCATTTATGCAAATGGAATATACAGTTTCCGTTTAGAATTGTATCTGTAATTTATTAAATGAAATCATTCAACATACCAGCTGGTCTGTAGTGTCAGAAAATGCTTCAGTGGTTGTCTGCAGAAAGAGTGCAGTTGGAGAGAAGAATCGCAGTGGTGCCCAGTGATTAAGGGTGATAGATGTTGGCATGGGCTGATGTTTGTGTTCCTCCAGAAACGGTGTGTTGAAATCTAATCCCCAGTGTGCTGGTATTAAGGTGTGGAGCCTTTAGGACATGAGCTGGTCTTGAGGTTGGGGCCTTTGTGAATAAGATTAATGCCCTCAAAAAAGAAGCCTGAGAGCCGGGCACAGTAGCGTCTGCCTGGAATCCCAGCTGCTCTGGAGGCTGAGGCAGGGGATTGCTTGAGCTCAGGGGTACAAGACCAGCCTGGGAAACACAGTGAGACCCCACCACCACCACCAAAAAAAGGAAAGAGGCCTGAGGTTGCTTGTTTGTTCCTTTTACCATGTGAGGACGCAGCAAGAAGGTGCCATCTCTGAAGCATTCCACGCCCTCACCAGACACTGGAGCTGCTAGCACCTTGATTTGGGGTGTCTCAGCTTCCAGAACTATGAGCAGTACATTTCTGTTGTTTATAAGTTACCCAGTCTGTGTAAATTTTGTTAGACTGAGATAGATACATTCATTATTTGGCTGTGGTGATGGTTTAATGGCATATACGTATATCAAAACTTGTGATAAATTGTACGCTTAAAATAGGACACAGTTGTATCTCAATAATGCTGTTGCTAAAAATCTTTATTCATATTTCTTTGCTTAGACACATTTTTTTTTTTTTTTTTTGAGACAGAGTCTCAAGCTGTCCCCCTGGGTTGAGTACCATGGCATCATCATAGCTCAGCACAATCTCAAACTCTTGGGCTCAAGCAATCTTCTTGCCTCCATTTTAGTATTTTTAGTAGAGACGGGTCTCACTGTTGCTCAGGCTGAGCTCAAGTACTGCACCTGCCATGGCCTCCTAGAGTAAGTACTAGAGTAAGTACTAGGAGATTACAGCTTGAGCCATCGCACCCTTAGACACACTTTTAACCCTTTAATACACTTTTTCTACATAGAGCAAATGGGAAAGAAAATATAAATTGATTTTTTAGATTTTGTCTTTTTTATCTTTAAGCCTTTTTGTGTAAACTGTGTAATGAAACGTAACTAATGTTTCTGCTTAAGCTTTCTTCTAAAGCATAACCGATACCCACATTAATAAGATAACCCTGCTTCAGTTTTTCAGATGTGATTTGCCATTTAATAAACATAGTCTTAATTTCTGTGTGGGCTTTCAACAAATCATTACGGGGTTTACATTTTTAAAGAAGTGAGAGGAAAGAGATTATTTTTAATATATCTATAGGCAACGCCAACATTGCTTAGAAGATTCGGAGCTCAGCTTATCAAATCCAGTGTTTTGTCAGCCAGTACTTCCCTTCGAGTGTTAGCTCTTGGTGGCGAAGCCTTTCCGTCATTGACTGTCCTCAGAAGCTGGAGAGGAGAAGGCAACAAAACACACATATTTAATGTCTATGGAATCACAGAAGTATCGAGTTGGGCGACCTTTTACAGGATTCCAGAGAAGAGTCTTACCTCTACTTTGAAGTAAGAGTTTCGATTATGTATGCTAAAAAGAAAGATGAGAAACTATGTATTTCCAGCATCTTAATACCAACAGTGTTTTTGATAGGCAGTAGGCTAATAATTGTAGAAAACCTGTTTTACCCAGTACGTGTATTTTAAATTGGGATCCAAAACCTTTCTTATTATAGCTGGTGCTGAGATCTTGCTAGAATTGTTTGTAACTGAACAAAAATGGATAATATACATGATAACCTTTCCATCTAATCTTTTCCTCTTGGCTTTGAATCATAACAAACTTTTCTTTTTTCTTTATAGTGTGATTTAAATACATTGGGAAATACTCTTTTCGAATTAAAAATTTTAAATCTGCTTTGGGTTGTGTTTTTCGTAGATGTGAAATGCCTGTACAACTGGGATTTCCACTGCTTGGAACAGTAGTTGAAGTCAGAGATACTAATGGTTGCACAATTCAAGAAGGCAATGGCCAAGTATTTTTAGGTTGTTTTTTTTTATTCATTGAGGATAATTTTTCTTTAAAAAAAGAAATCTGATATGTTAATTTTGTTGTTGTTCTGCTTTTCTTATGACTAGTATGCTATTCAGTGATAAGTTTTTTTTTTGGTTGTTTGTTTTTTTTAGAGATAGAGTCTCTGTCACTCATGCAGGAGTATAGTGGTCCCAGTCATAGGTTACTCCAACCCAAGGGCTCAAACAGTCCTCCTGCTTCAGCCTCCCAAGTAGCTAGGGCTACAGGCATGTGCCACCACACCTTGCTACTTTTTAAAAATATTTTAAGAGATGGGGTCTCACTGTGTTGCCCAGGGTGACCTCAAACCCCTGACCCCAAGTGATCGTTCTGCCTCAGCCTACCAAAGTACTGATTTTATAGGCCTGGGCCACTATGTCCAATTGATAATTTTTAATCTCAATCTGATAGTCATGAAGCATTGAATAACTTACCATAGTTATTTCAGCTAACAATGTCTAATACTCTTAATAAAAATATTTAGAAACTGTAACTTACACCTTTATATATTTATACTTACAGCCAAAGTTACATTTAATCAGTATTCTAAGAATTTTTTAAATCCCGTGTATGTTTTTAGAAATAAATTTTATCTTATCCCTTTGCTTAATTATTGAGGTTATTGTGTCTAATTTTATCAGAAAACACGTAAAAGTGAGCTCCCCTTTTAATATAAATACTCAAATTTTGAAGCTTCGTAACAACTTTCAGAGATGTCGATTCGATGATTTTGAAGATATTACTCAAGATTTTTATGACATTGGTGTTTATGTCTTGGGCAGGTGGTGGAAGCAGAGTGTGTTTTCTTGATGATGAAGTGACAGTACCACTTGGCACAATGCGAGCCACAGGAGACTTTGTGACTGTGAAAGATGGAGAGATATTTTTCTTGGGACGAAAGGACAGTCAGATCAAACGTCACGGCAAACGTCTTAACATTGAACTTGTGCAACAGGTAGAACAACATAAATCTTAAATATCTGTTAGCACATGTCTGTATGAGAAGCAGCCACCACCAATTTTTTA